CTCAGGAGGCTGAGGTGGGAGGATCACTTGAGTCCAGGAGGCTGAGGCTACAGTGAGCCAAGATCATGCCACTGCACAGCAGCCTGGGTGACAGAGTGAGTGAGACCTTGATTAAAAAAAAAAAAAAAAAAAAAAACACTAAACTAAAAAACAAAAGGAGAGGGAGGAGAATAGATCGAAAGAGATTTAAGAGACAACAATGAAATGCAACGTATGGATCTTGTGTAGATTCTGAGTTTGAACAAATCAACTTTAAAAGACCGATAAAAGATCTTTGTTAGACAATTGGGGAATTTTTTTATTTGGAGATGAGGTCTTACTCTGTTGCCCAGGCTGGCCTTGAACCCCAGGACTCAAGAGATCCTCCTGCCTCAGCTTCCCAAAGTTCTGGGATTACAAGGGTGAGCCACCACACTTGGTTTATTAAGGAAATTTTAACACCACTGGATATTTAATGATAACAAAAAATTATTATTAAAAATGTAGGCAGGATAATAGTTTCTGGTTATGTCTTTATCTTTTAAAAATACAAACTGTAATATTTATTTATTCATTTTGAGATAGGGCCTCGCATTTTCCCCAAGCTGGTCTTGAACTCCTGGCCTCAAGTAATCTGCCCCCTCTCAGTCTCCCAAGTTGCTGGGATTTACAGGCATGAGCCGCCGTGCCCCACTCCTTGCAGTATTTGTGGATGAAATTATTTGATGTTTAAATTTGCTCTGAGTAATCCAGTGGGGAGGAGTGGGGCGATAGAAATGAAACAAGAGTGGCCCTAAGTCGGTGAGGGTCGAAGCTGGGTGAGGAACACACAGCGGTTTTTGTACTATTCTATTTTTGTTGTGTGTTTGAAATTTTCCACAATAAAAATGTCTTTGCTGCCGTCAAGGAGGTGGGGAGGAAGACTGAGACATACAGAGACACGAAGGCCAGAGATCAGTTCCCTCCAAGGCTGGGGTGGGGGAGGGGAGATCGGCCTTGCAAGCTTTCCTCGGGAGTGAGCAAAAATAGGACTGTGTCTATGCAGGGAGGAGTTCCCGAGGAAACGGCACAGGAGCGGCAAATGCAGAGAGGATGCAGACTCTGAAGAGGGCAGGCAGCTTCTGCACCGAGGGAGCAAAGGGGCATGTCAGGGGCAGCAGCTGGGAGGAGGGGAGTGCCACGGAGGGTCTGGGATGGCCAGCCGAGGAGCCCTGGAACGGTTGCAGCTGGGGAGTGACAACGTGGGCTCTGTGTTTTAGCCGGGTCACCCAGGCAGCTGAACAGAGGATGAGCTAGAGGGGGAGGCCTGGATGTAGGTAGAGAGGCCTGAGCAGTGTCCAGGTAGCCCCTGGGCTGGGGTCCTGGAGAGAGACAAGGAGGCCCAAGCTAGAGAGTGGCCTGGGATGAACTGCAGGAGACAGCTATGAGTGCTGCTGCCAGGAGGAGGGTGCTGGGAGGGAGGAGTGCAGTGAGGCCCGTTTGGGGCCTGGGCAACTTGGTGGATATTGGTGCCACTATTAAGATAGGTTGAGGCTGCATGCGGTGGTTCACACCTATTACAGGGATTACCCCAGCACTTTGGGAGGCTTAGGCAGATGGATCACTTGATGTCAGGAGTTTGAGATCAGCCTGGCCAACATGGCGAAACCCCATCTCTACTAAAAATAGAACAATAAGGCTGGTGAGGTGGGGGGCACCTGTAGACCCAGCTACTCAGGAGGTTGAGGCAGGAGAATCGCTTGAACCCAGGAGGTGGAGGTTGCAGTGAGCCGAGGTTGCGCCACTGCATTCCAGCCTGGGTGACAGAGTGAAACTCTGTCTCAAAAAAAAAAATAGATTGAGAGGGTAGGTCAGGCCCGTTCATCTAGAGCCCTGGGCTGTGGCAGGGGCCTGGGATCTGGTTCCAGCCCTGCTGTCTGCCTGTGGAACCCAGGGCACATCTCTACCCTTCTCTGACCTAGGGGTCCCCATCTCTAAAGCAAGGACCAGGAACCTCAGATCAGGGGTTCCCCAAATCTGCCCCGGTCGGATCTCTGCCCAGCCCACGCATGAACCCTTCTTGCCTGCGAGGGGATCATGAGTTCTCATCTGGCGTCACTGAAAATCCAGTGGTGTGATGTCAATGGCATTTCCCTTCAGAAAAAGGAAATGAGGTTAGCGAGCGTGTTACCAGGAAAGGAAAGTTAGTCGGGTCCCTCCCTCTGCAGCTTATGCTTCCCGCACAGAGCATGCAAGGCTCCTCTGCCAGGGCTGGGGACAGGACCCAGAAATGTCACAGTTCAGACAGAGGTACCAACACAACAGCCTTGACGTCCAAGCAGGGCTGGGCCGCCCTCAGCAGAATCAGCACCTTCTCTGGCTCACATGGCCCAGACCCTGGCCACCGTGGGAGACAGGTCACAGGTAGCTCCAGGGTCTTATTAAACATTAGCAAGGCCCAAAAGCTGAGCTCTTTATAGCAAGAAGACTGAGGTCCAGACAGGAGAAGGGGCCTGGCCCAGGGCACAGAGCTAGTCAGAGGAGAACCCAGACACAGGCCACAAGGCACTGGGGAGTCAGTGTCCCTGAAGGCCTGTCTTGCTACAGAGCTCCCAGAATGCCCCATTCCTGGTGGATGTACCCAGAAAGTCCCTCTCCAGTTCCAAATGTTAAGTGCCTTCACCAAATGAAACCACTCCCTGACCCTTAGCTTCTGACCTTCTGAACATTCCTAAAATGAATTATGAAGATGAAATGAAAACCACTGTCACTCCATCCAATACAACAGCTACATACTTTGGGAAAAATGAATAGTAAATTGTTAAGTTTGGTATATTTGGCAAATTGGTCATTTGAAAACCTGATCAGTTGCCAAGTTGGTCATTAAGTGGATCCGTTTTTAGGACTTTGACCTAGAGGACCCCCACCCACCAGGCCTTCTCCCACCTTCGAGCCCCATCGACTGGGCCCAGATCCGTGGCATCCCCCCCAGCCCAAGCCTCAGCCCAGGACCTGACACACAGGTGGGTCCAGGCTCTGGCTCATTAACTTCTGAGTAAACTAAGGAGATGTGTTGAACCTGAGCACCCTGGGTGATTGGAGGGGCCACGAGAGGTGGATTAGCAGGGGTGGGCCTGGTCACCCCCCGACACAGTGAGGTAACAGGGTGGAAAAACCCCTCACCTTTGCTCTTATTGTAAAAGTCAACTCGGGTCATACTTTCCACTGTGCCCCCCACAGGGAGGGCGTCTGGTTCACCCTCCCACGCACCCAGGGGTTGGGGGTTTTCAGGTGAAGTGGAACTAGGTGTCTGTGTTTTTGCACCTTTGCAGGATCGCTCAGCAACAAAGGAGCCAGAAAAGTCAGGTTGTACACACCGTGTGCCGCAGAGGCGAGCCTGCAGGTGTGCAGGTAAGGGTGTGTGCATGCAGGTGTGTGCACATGAGTTTGCACGTGCAGGTGCGGATGGCTGTGATGGGTAGTGGTATGCTATACACCGGCAGATGCTTGTGGACCTGTGCCGACTGTTAAAGCACATACATATACCTGCGTGTGTATGTGCATGCATGTGTTTGTGTGAGCTGCAATGTGTATACAAGCTTTCACAATAAGTGACTTGAGTAAATGTACCTGTTTATCCATGGAAGCGCATGATGACTGGACACATGTAAATATGTGTTTGTGCATGTTTATACTCTGCATAGATACATGTTTGTGTATTTATGTTGATCCATTTAAGTGTATGGGGTATGTGTTGATGTTTGGGTAAGTCTGTATATACTTCTAGGTGCATCTTAATACAGGAAGATGGCTAAGTGCAATGTGTACGTGTGTGTCTGTGTGAACGTGTGTGCCTGGAGATCTGAGTGTGTGGATAGGTGTGTCTGCCTGTGTGCATGTGTGATCCGTGTGGTGTGAGTGCACAGGGTCGCAGGCAAATATCTGTGTGGGCAGACATATAGCCTGTTGCCCTTTTCTAGCTTTTCGTCTTGGGAAATTACAGAACTTCTAAGTCCTAACCATGGCTGGTGGCTCTTGCAGGAACATGGTTTCCTGAATCCAAAAGATAAGCATGTCAGGGATCCATGTGAGTGAGGAAGTTGGTGGGCCTGAGGCTGGGTTTCCTCCGAGAACTGCTGTGGACCAGGTTGGTGATAGGGGCTGGTACACCCGGAGCCTCAGCCCCCACCATCCCCACATCTGCCCTGGAAAATCTTGCCGCCACCTCTGGTCTTTAGTACACCCCTCAGTAATACCTTCCAAAGCTTCTCTTTTTATTTTTCTTTTTTAACAATACTTCCACAAAGCATGGTCCTAAGCACCTGGCCTAGACTGTCCCTGGGCCTGTTTGGTTGACATTCTCTTACAGTTAAAAAAAAAAAAAAATCTATATCCATATTCTTAATGAATCCTTGTGACCTTTCTTCTAGTCTATTTGGACAGACGGGAGCAGAGTGGTTACAGGAGCTAGGCCTAGTCCCACTGCTGCCCCCTCTTCTAGCTGAACAACCTCTGCCTCTTCCAGCCTCCCTCACAGGGAGAATCACAGATCACATGAGGTGACGCCCATAAGGGCTTGACCGGCATCCGGCACATGGCGAGCCCTGCAAAAATGTGGGCTATTGTTTTTACTATTATCTCCACTTTACAGATGAGGAAACTGAGGCTTGGAGAGGCTCTCTGCCTTTGTCAACCTGGAGATGCTGGGAAGGAACTGAGGCCCATCCCGCCTCAGATGCCCATCCTCTGTCATCAGGAGTGTTCTCTGGTTCTTCCGGGCTTGGCCAAGTGGTGGTAAACCCCACATGTGGTTCTGTGGTTGCCCACACAGTCCTAAAAATAGCCAACAGGAACCCAGGGGCTCCCCCTTGGTAAGTGGCAGCAGGCCCAGTCCTCAGTCAGCCACAGACCTGCTCCTTCCCTACAGGCAAGCAGGTCCTGTCTAGGGAGGGGCTGGGTGGCCTGAGTCTGAGGTACGATGAGCCAGAAGCCGTGCCAAGCTTGTAGCAAAGATTATTTTCTTTCACTATGTTTTCTTACGTCTGGAATGTGGAGGCTGTGGTTCCACTGGACTCATGAGGAGACTGAGGCTCAGAGCGATGAAATGACCTACTCAAAGTTAATGCACTTCAATGAAGGCCCAAGTTGTTCTGATCCCAAGGTCACTATCCTTAATCCCTCTCCCTATGAGGTCTTCCCTATCTTGAGCCTGGGGATAGCTGTGCACGGGCAAGAGCAGAGCCTTCGGAGCCACACAGACCTGGCTTCAAATTCCAGCCTCCCTGATGACCCCTGATGGCCTTGGTAAGTCACCTCACCTCTCTCAGCCTCAGTTTCCTCACTGACAAAATAGAAGCCACACTGCACATGACGTAGGAGTATGGAGGCCTGACACACAGCCAGCACTCAGTGCACAGCCACTCACTGTGTACTCACAGTACTGACATCCATGCTTCCAAAGCTGGGGTGAGAGGAGCAGCATTGGTTGAGCTCCCAGAAGCGTCCTGCCAGGTCAGGGAAGTGGAACCACCCACGAGAGGCCAGGAGAGGAGGTCTCTATGGCAGATTGAAATTTCCCCAAAATTATTTCAGGAGTGTTTCTAGTTCTACATCCAGGAAACTTGTCATTCCCCACCAGGAGATGGAGTTCATTGCTCTTCCCCTTGAAGCCAGGCATGCCTTTGAGATGGCCTCTGTGTAAAGAATATGACAGAAGTAACATGAAAACTTCCTAGGCTAAATCTAAAAGGAGGTACAGCTGCCACCTGTCTGTCTGTCACCTTTCTGTCTCTGTCTCTTTCTCTCAGCATGCTTGCCCTTGGGACTCAGACACCATATTGTGAGGAAGCCCAAGCTACATGCAGAGGCCACTATAGATGTTCTGGCCAACAGCTCAAGCTTCAGCAGCTAGACATATGAATAAAGGAACTCTTCAAATGATTTCAGTTTCCAGCCTTCAATGCATCCCAGCTAATATCCAGAGGAGCAGAGATGAACCATCCTCTCTGAGCCCTGCCCAAATGCAGACTTGAGAACAAACTAAATGTCATTGTTTCGAGCCATTAATTTTCAGGGTGGCTTGGTGCACTGTGCCAAGGTAACAGGAATAGCCCCCCTCTTCCTCTGCAGCTCTCCCCAGGTACAGGCAAGCTCCCTGACCCATGCATCATCCCCACTCCACAGGCAGAACCAGGAGTCAGTCCTCTGACCCACAACTGTGCCCTCCAGCCTAAGCTCAAAGCCCAGCTCTGTTGCTTTCAGCTGGGTGCCCTAGGGCAAGTCACCAACCCTATGTGACAAATCCCTCTATGTCAAATGGGAATTATAATAATTATGATAGTGCCCCTGAGGAGTCTTGGAGGGATTTAATAAAGAGCCTGGGACATAGTGTTCATTAAGTGGATGCAGGGACATGAGGCTTGGGAAAAAGGAAGGGGTCAAAAATGTCGAGAGAGGAGGTTTTCAGGGAGCCTGGGGGGAAATGAGTTTAGGCTGGATGTTAAGTGCAGGGTGCCCAGCTCTCTGCAGTTCCCTGAAGAGGACTTGTCCTCAGGTTGCTCAAAGATTGACCAAGACATGGGAGGCTGCAGAGTGTGGCTGGGCAGGCCCAGGCAGGAGCTGGTCAAGGGTGAATGGGGTGGGGGCGTGGAGGGCACGGCAGCAGGAGCCGGGGCAGGGACCTCAGAGCCAGGTGAGCACAGTGCACATAAGTATGAGCTCTGAGGCTTCTCAGATACCACCAGGTTCCCTCCCCTTCTCTCCCCAGCCCAGGCCAGCCTGGCCCTATCTAGAGAGATAAAGTCACTGCAGAAGCTCCCAGACCGGGGAAGTCCTTATCAGCCACCCTGGTGGTGGGAATGAAACTCATGTTGGGAATGCAAACTCTCCCTCCACACAACCCTGAATGCAACACACCAGCCCTAGGAAGACACAAAGCAGACACAGTGAGGTGGGCCTTCCCCCAGCCAGACCCCACCCTCCTCCCTGCTCCCTTTCTGCAGCGCTGCAAATGCATGAGATGGGAGGGTAGGCCCTGCCTCCCCCTTCCCTAACACCTGGGGCATATTTTTCCTTTAAGTCACACTCAGATTTCGAGGTGTCTCAAAGAGCCCTTTCTGTTGATGCCATCATGGCGAATATTCCCCATGTGTGCAGCACAGTGCCCACCCTGCCCAGAGAATGAGGGAAGCATGCCCCGTGGTGGGTGGACCTGGGTGACCTAGAGCAAGTCTGTTTACTTCACTTGCCAAGATTTTGTCCTCATGCAAACATGCAGTCAGTCCCCCTGTTGAGCCAGGCTCAGGGCTGAGCACTGGGGAGAAGCAGATTCAGAAAATACAGCCCTCTGGACTTCACTGTCCAGTGGGCAAGATGGACAAACAAGTAAAATGATGACGATGATGATGATGATGATAATGATGATGACGACGATGATGATGATGATGATGATGGTGGTGATAACAGGCTTGCTTTAGAGCACTTACCACCTGCCATTGTTCGGAGTAATTTACGTGTATTGACTCATTCAATTTCCACAGTAACCCTATTGTCTCCCAACACTGTCTCGGAGGAGGAAATTGAGGCACAGAGAGCTTAAGGCACTTACACAAGTTCCCAAAGCAAGTGAGTGGCAGGGATGAGAATCAAGCCCAAGAGGCCTGGCTCTGTGGACAGCATGGTGAGGGCTGGGAGTTAGGGAGGGAATGGGGGCCGAATCATAGAATGACCTCTGCCTGGCTGAGCTGGAAGTGAGCTTTCCAGAGACAAGACATGGGAAGGATTGGGTGCAGAGTGGGTGCCTGGCAAAGGCTCAGTCCCTGCTGCTCCACCCCAGAACCCCATAAGGGCTTTGCATGGCCTCTGAATGGCCCTTTCCCAAGTGTCCCTTACCTACCACACCCATGGGGTCACCTGCTGTGTTGCGCCTGGGCCTGCAGCTTGGGACTCCCATGGACCCAGGTGAAACTCTGGGCTTTGCTGCCCCTGTGATGGGCTCCCAGGGTCCAGAGATGCCCACATCAGGGGTCGAGAGCAGGGCCTTCCGCTGCCTGGGGACAGAGGCAGACAGTGGGTTCATAGGAAAGAGCATTGGGTTTGAAGTCAGACAGATAAGAATTGAAATCCTGGATAAGGACACGTGCACACGAATGTTCATTGCAGCACTCTTTACAATAGCAAAGACCTGGAACCAACCCAAATGCCCAACGATGATAGACTGGATAGGGAAAATGTGGTACATATACACCATGGAATATTACGCAGCCATCAAAAACGATGAGTTCGCGTCCTTTGTAGGGACATGGATGAACCTGGAAACCATCATTCTCAGCAAACTGACACAAGAGCAGAAAATCAAACACCGCATATTCTCACTCATAAGTGGGTGTTGAACACTGAGAACACATGGACACAGGGAGGGGAGCACTACACACTGGGGTCCGTTGCGGGGAAATGGGGGAGGGACGGGGGGTGGGGAGGTGGGAGGAGATAGCATGGGGAGAAATGACAGATACAGGTGAGGGGACGGAAGGCAGCAAACCACACTGCCATGTGTGTACCTATGCAACAATCTTGCATGTTCTTCACATGTACCCCAAAACCTAAAATGCAATTAAAAAAAAAAAAAAAAAGAATTGAAATCCTGGTTGGGCTGCAGCCTGCTGAGTAACACCCAGCCCTGCCTGCTCGTCTCTGGGCCTCACTTCACCATCTGTGAATGGCTCCACCGTTCCAGAGGCTGCGTCAACACGAGTGACTCTGGTGTGAGTTAGCCTGCGACTGTGTCGCAAGTGTCTGATTGGCAGTGACAGGAGACGCCTGCCATCTGTCTAGGGGTTTTCCTAGAGGAGGAGGTGCTCGAGCAGGCGTCTACAGTAAGCTCTTCTTTTCTACTCCCTTCCTTCCATGCTTTTTTTCCTGAGCCCAGTAAAACCTGGCCAGGGCCTGAGGTGCTCCCAGGCTGGGGAGGGGCTGTATTCAGTGTCACAGGGGCTCCGTTAAGTCTGCACAGGGCTCGGTGTGGGGGAGCCAGTGCCCCCGTGGGGAAATCTTTGGGGAACTGATCCTTGAAGAATGAGTGGGTGGTTACCATGCAGCCCAGAAGGAGGAGGAGAAAAGAGCCTGGGGTAGAGGGAGCTGGGGACAAAGGCTTACAGGTGAGGACCAAGTCTGGCCTGTCAGAAACAGCACACAATGGGAAGGCTGCAGCATGTCCGCTCACAGGGTCAACAGGAGCCAGCAGAACATTAAGAAAGGCCTTGAACTCCAGGCTGAGGAGTTTGGGCTTTGCCCTGAGGGTACTGGGGAGCTGTGGAAGGGTTTTGAGGAGACGAGGGGTATGAGCGGAACCATATTTCCAAAGGTATCTCTGACTCCTGTGAAGAGGCTGGACTGGAGAGGCTGCTGGGGATGCAGGAGAGAGAGGAGGCCTGAATCCAGGCAAGGGCAGTGGGCAGGGAGGGGCTGGCTCAGAGAGGAAGGGAGGCCTTGGGAAGTCGGTGGATGTCAGGGGAAGGCGGGAGAGGCAGGTGACTCCCAGGTGTCTAGCTGGCTTGGGCACAGAGTGGGGATAGGGTCCATCACTGAGTGATACCAGAGGGTCAGAAGTAAAAGCAGGCAAGGGGTTGTGTTGGGGACATACCAAGCATGGTCATGTGGCAGCTGAATCCTGGGCTCAAGGCCAGCTGAGGCCATGGCTCAGCCCTCACCCTGGGGACACAGACTTCAGGTCAGGCAAGGGTGGAGGGACAGTGGGAGGGGCTGTTGCCGGGGAGCGTCAGGAGGGATGACTAGGACCAGGAATGGGACTTCGGGAAGATGCCCAAGGCATCCTCTTCTCCGAGGTCTGACAGAGAGGCCTCAGGGGTTAGGGACAGTAGACACCCTGTGCCTGCAGGCTGGCCTGTCCCTATCATTGCGGAGATCTGAGTTCTGTGGGCTTCTGTTCCGTATGTGCAGTTGGAGGCTGGACCAAAGGATTGCCAACCCCCTCCCCTTTCTGACTTTTCTGGCTTCTTTGTTTTCCTCTGCCCCTTACTGACTCTAGGGCCTTACACAAGGCCTCCCTGCCTCTGGGCCTCAGTGCCTCTTCCAATATAGAGCATGTATTAGGCTGGAATGATCCCTAAGGTTGGAAAGCATGATCCTAAGGTCCTCTTCCACGTTCGTTCAAAGCACAAGTGAACAGATTCCAGCTGCGAAGGCCCCAGACTTTGCTACTCTCCAAGGAGTCCACACTCACCCTGCCTCACCATCTAATTAGTCGCATCCTAGGATAAGGACACAGCCAGTCTGTTGCTGGCTTTCCCATTCCCTCCCCACCGCCCCTGCCCAGCGTCCTGGAGTTGGGGAGGATCAGCCTGCAGGCCTGGAAGACTTTTTTCCAACTTCAGGATTACAGCCAGCTCCACAGTAAACCCCATCAGCCCCAGAGTAGGGGTGCAGCAGCCCGGCCCATCAGCAGACCCTGGAATTCAGAAAGAAGGCAGCTGGCGCAGACAGATGATGACCTTTTAGACTTTCTTTACTAGGCGAGGCACACCACGGCATGGACCTTCCTTAGCGCAACCCTGTGGGAAAGTGGAACCGGGGGAGCAGTCACTGTGCAGATGCAGAAACCAGGGCTCTGCAAAAGAGGACGGAGCCTGCCCAAAGTCACTCAGCAAGTGGCAGAGGTGGCGCTTCACCCTCGGCTCTGCCATGAAGCCCATCCTCCATGGGAACTTCTGTCAAGAGACCCCTGCAGTTCCTCCATAACTCACACCCTATGCTAGGGCAGAGGGGAGAGGTCAGAAAGAGGGGAAGGGCGGGACAGGCTGGGCATGAGGAGCCATGTGCCACCACCTGCACTGTGGGGAGAGCCTCACCCTGCTCTCCCAGGCTCGGTGTGCACCTAAGGCTCTGCCTTGGTCCTTAAGGCCCTGGACGGCCTCATCTGACCC